AGGAGTCATGAGAGCCATTGCAAGTTGCAAGGAGCCAAGTGCATGGAGTCAAGTGCAAGTCGCAAGTGCACGGAGTTAAGTGCAAGTTGCAAGTGCAAGGAGCCAAGTGCAAGGAGCCAAGTGCATGGAGTCAAGTGCAAGTTGCAAGTGCATGGAGTCAAGTGCAAGTTGCAAGTGCATGGAGTCAAGTGCAAGTTGCAATTGCAAGGAGTCAAGTGCAAGTTGCAATCCTTGCCATGACTCCTTGCAATGACTCCTTGCAATGACTCCTTGCAATGACTCCTTGCAATGACTCCTTGCAATGACTCCTTGCAATGACTCCTTGCAATGACTCCTTGCAATGACTTTCATGATGATGATTCCTTGCAATGACTCCTTGCAATGACTTTCATGATGCTGATTCCTTGCAATGACACCTTGTAATGACTCTCATGAGAACAACTCAAGTGAACCCAGCGGAAGAACCCTTCGCCATGCTATCGGGAATAAATCAAAAACTCAAATCAAATCAAATCAAATCAAATCAAATCAAATCAAATCAAATCAAATCAAATCAAATCAATCAATCAATCAATCAATCCATCAAGCAATCAATCAATTAGTCAATCAATCAATCAATCAATCAATCAATCAATCAATCAATCAATCAATCAATCAATCAATCAATCAATCAATCAATTACAGCATTCAATTGAATTGAATGTCATTTCATGTTCATGTTCATTTTCATTTCATTTCGTTTCATTTCATTTGATTTGATGTCATGTCATGTCATGTCATGTCATGTCATGTCATGTCATGTCATGTCATGTCATGTCATGTTTCATGTCATGTTTCATGTCATTTCTTTTGATTCCATTCCATTCCATGGATCCGGTGCTTTTTTTCTTCGCTAGGGCTGGTTTTCTTTGCTAGGGCTGGTCCCCTGATTGGTTGGTTGGTTGGTTGGTTGGTTGGTTGGTTGGTTGGTTGGTTGGTTGGTTGGTTGGTTGGTTGGTTGGTTGGTTCTGGGGCCGCCTATACCACCAAAACTCACCCACAACTCACTGAACCACACCCTAAAGTAACCCTAAAGCCGCTGCCAAGCCAGCAGCCCACTCAAAGTCAACCCTAAACCCGCCCAACAGCAGCCTGGATGTCAGCCCTGCGCTTCGCCTAAATCAACCCCAAAACCACCCCAAGACCCACCCTCATGAAGATCTAAGCCAGCCAAGAGCCCCCGACCTTAAACCAGCCCCCAGCAACTCGCAACGGCCACCCAATAGGCAACCCCAGGTCCAAGTGATGCTGGTGATGCTGGTGATGTTGCCAGCCTTTAAAAAAAAAGGAACACCGTTACCTCCATTCCATTCCATTCCATTCCACTCCACTCCACTCCACTCCACTGCATTCCATTCCATTCCATTCCACTCCACTCCACTCCACTCCACTGCATTCCATTCCATTCCATTCCACTCCACTCCACTCCACTCCACTCCACTCCACATTCCATTCCATTCCATTCCATTCCATTCGACTCCATTCCACTCCACTCCACTCCACTGCATTCCATTCCATTCCATTCCATTCCATTCCATTCGACTCCATTCCACTCCACTCCACTCCACTGCATTCCATTCCATTCCATTCCATTCCATTCCATTCCATTCCATTCCATTCCATTCCATTCCATTCCCTTTGTTCCGTTAAATTTCATATCATTTCATGTCATTTCATGTCAATTCACGCCTATGGCGTTTTATTCATGTCCATGCCATTCATTCATTGGCAAACACCTATCCGGAAGAGGGGTTGGTTGGCAAGCGAGCCTCGGAACCACTGACACCCCAGTCTAGCACCCAGTTCGGCCCCCTGTGTCCTTTAATCTTTGGTTCTAATTCACTGTTACTCACCCAGACTCTGAGTGCTCAAGCTGCTCACCCTCCCTCTTTTTTGGTTCGGAGTTGGCCACTGGCGCACTGGCCACCTTGGCATTGCGGCTTCGTGGGGGGAAGAGTGGCACAGCCAACGCATCCCAGCGTCCCGAACTCGGACCGCGACCTGTGCCAACCCGGTAAAGTGCCGCTCCGAGCCTGTTTTTTGGGGCCGTTAAATCAAAGGTGAACATGTGAACAACCCGGGTTGGGGCTGGAAAAACCGAAGAGATTATATAAGCACTTTGGGTCAAGTGGGGTGTCAAAGGATCATTGTGGGACCCATTGCTTCTGGAGGCAATGGCCGAGTCAAGGTGGGAAAGGCCCGACACTCAGTCCCGGATCCCCCCTTTTGGCTGGTTTGCAAATCACCTAATTTGGGCCTGAGCTCCCATTCCCGTTTTCTGTCTGCATCCGCAGCTCTAAGGATGGGTCAGATCCAGTCAACATCTTCTACCACTGGTGGGAGCTTTTCTGACCCACCCTGCGGCCTGCAGAAGATCGGACCTCGCAGCAAGCATGAGCAAACGAGCGCGCTGCTTCGTGCAAAGCTGCGACCCACTCACAGGTTTGTTCCTGAAATAAACCATCTATGGGTTCAGCTCCATGTTGGTAAGCTTTGCCCAAAGATACCTTGAAAGCCCCTCATTTCGCCGAATCATGAGGGGCTGGCAGCCAATTTTTTCAGGAACTCCTGGGAACTTTCCATTCCAAATGGCACTTGTGCTGCCTGCGGAATCGTCGCTTGCTTCCAGTACATCTGGAAGCTGCCAAAATGCGCACGGACTAGAATTCGGTTGCAAGAAGCGTGGGGCTGGACCATTTGAAGTGAGCGTTTGGATTTTGCAGGTTCTCAAAGATACGCTTGGATGATGTTGTTCAAATCCCTATAGTACATTGAGTGTCACTTCTGGCCCAGCAAGATACGCGGGCATGGAGGAACCACGTGCCGACTGGACTTTTCCAGGGAGAGTGAACAGCAGCTCATTACTCAGACTCCGCAAAGTATCCCCAAAAGGAGGATTCTGCAAACATGTTGTCTTTTGGAGGCTCCCTAGTCTTTTGTTTCTTAGCGCTTTCGCCCATTTAGGCACATTTCCGGATAGAACCGCGTTATTTTGATTCATTCTGGGTCGTTTCCCAGGGGAATCCCAGGGTGTGATACAAAAACCCCTCTTGGCGGACCGGGGTCGGTTGCCAATGTCAAACCTTGGCTGAAAGCTCGGGCCAAGGGTTTGAAGCGCTCCAAAGATGGGTGCGGGGCTTGCGAAACACGCAAGATGGGCGCAAGTGCCCCCTTGGGCGGCGCCGGGCCAAAATCAAAGTTGAGATTGGCGCAATTGCAGCGACCCCGCAATGAGTGCTTCAGAGTTCAGATGCATTCCTTTGATTTTGACTCACATGCCTTGGCTGCCAAGGGTGAATTAGGTTAGAAACGTGAGCCGAAGTCATCAAATTGAGGCCGATTTGGGCAACTAAATGTTTGTAGGGGGTGTTAGGCATAATACTTTGTTGCGGTGGTTTTCTTGTGACTGAGGGGTTCTGCCACTGAGGGCCGTGTCTTCTTTGGTCAGGTGAACGGTCTTGTGGCTCATTTTCGCTGTACTTGGGTTGTTTTCGCCGATCGGTTTCGCCCGGGGGTTTTGCAGATGGTGAAGCATGCGCTAGCAGCGTGCCCAATGGAGCACGGCTTCATCACGGCCCGTTTTCAATAATTTTGATCCAAAGGACAATGTCGGAGAAAACGTATCACGGAGCAAAGAAGTATGCCTGAAAAAGTTCTGACGTCGGCCGGAGAGACTGAATCTATGAAGGTTCTTGTTGGTCCCAGCGGCTCAATGCGATGGTCGGCAACGCAGCGCTTGCCAATCCACGGTGTGAAAGTCTTCGGTTGTTCATGTACTTAATCAGTGCTCGTACTTGGTTTGGGTTGTTCTCCCTTGAACCGTCCTGGTCTGGCTACCTGATCTTCAAGCAGCCTTCAAGGTAAGGCTGAGGGACAAGTGAGGATCGGTCAAAATTCCTTTGCCTTTTCCAAGATTCGCAATCTTGGAGTTTGTTGCGCTAGCACAGCTGACTGACCTTTCAGTCCATTGCCAATTTAGGAGAGACATGGGGGTGGGGACTCACCCAACTGTTTCTGCCAAATCTGCATATTGTGCCCTGTCCATTCGGGTATCATATGGGTGTGGCCTGACCGAGTTTTTTCATCGTGGGTTCATTTTGTGACGGCTCATGTGTGTGCCATGGTCGAAATGACCCTTTGCTCGCTGATGGTCATGGACCCTTCAGGGACTTTGGGGGCAGTCCCCATAGTAGGGAGCCATGTCATGGGCCATTCTGTTCTTGAACTTAGACGGCCATGGGGATTTGAAGCGGAACCAGATGACCCATGACTCACATTTGTGTGGGGAGTTGGGTGTTTTTGCCGAGGAGGTGATCCCCTATGAGAACAACCAGGAAGAGGAACGGTCGATCGATCGCGCGCTCGACTCGTCTGGGGGACCGGGACTGCCCGCCCCCCCGAATTGCTTGGGACACTAGGCACCAACTGTTGCATCTGAAATATCAACACTCCAATGGTTGATTTCTCCGGTTGGAGCTCGGCTGATGGGTCGTGGAGGCATTTTGCCGGGCCACCCCACTGGTCACAATCCCATCCTTACTAAATAAGTTGCGCGCGCAAGACTGCACACACAAACACACACATGCACACGCCCGCCACGTGACAAGCATATTCCTAGAGATTCCAATGCAAGGAATTCCTAGGTGTTCTGATTCTCCAGGCGTTTTACATGGGCGTGTTAGGCGTTTTGCGTATTGTTGTTTTCTTTGCGGGCGTTTGCCCCTTTTTGCGTGCCTTTTGCGGTAATTTGCGGGCGTTTGCGTATTCCTTGACGTTCGAATCTCCAGGCCGTGTGTCTGTCTGAATGTCTGACTGTCTGTCTGTCTGTCTGTCTGTTTGTTCGTTCGTTCGTTTGTTTGTTTGTTTGTTTGTTTTGTTCGTTTGATTTGCTTTGCTTGTTTGTTTTTTGTTTGTTTGTGTGTCAGTCTTGCGCTCTTGAGTTGCTTGGCACTCGACCGTATGTGCCACTCCAGCGCCTGTCGCACGGAAGGACACTGGCTGGGGATCCGAATCGGGGCATAAAAGGGGCATGGATCTGGTGCAGAAATATGCTCAAAATCAGGCATATGTGTGTGTGTGTGTGTGTGTGTGTATGTGTATGTATTTATGTAGATATATACATATATATATATATTATATATATATACATAGTCACCCCCCCCCCCCATGAACTACATTTGGAGCATGCGGTTCATTTCACCCTTCGAAAACACTGGCATTTACAGTATATTTTGCATGTGTCGGATGTAGGAACTACTAGGCCGAATTCCGGTCTGCAACAAGGTGCCTCTCAGAAGATGTAAACATATTTGTGTTTTTGATGCTTTTCATTGCAAGCTTGTAAAATTCCTGCTGTTTTCAACACAACAGGAAACTAAGCATTTGAGATGCAATGTTCGCTATCCCTTCATTACTGAATTTGTTCTGCGGTATCTATCCTTTTGCTCTTGAATTATTGTTGCCAAGGCTAGGATGCCACAGCTCTTGCTGGATTTGTTTTGCATCTCCTCCATCAAAACCAAACACACTCGAGGAAACCAACGAACTATCAAAACCAAAGCGCACCAAAAACAAAGAAAAACCAAGAGAGTTGCTGATTTGTGTTTGTTGTTTCCGAGGTTTTTTGGAATTGGTGGTTTTCCTTGGGTTTTTGTTTTTGGAGCTTTTGGAGCCAAAAACGCATTTTTTCAGTTTTCTCATACCCCTCACTCATCAAAAACAACAAACCACGGTTTTTTGTTTTGTTTTTTGGCTCCAGTTGCTCAGAAAACCAAAAACCCAAGGAAAGCCAAACAAAACCAAACAACGCAAACCAAAAAAAGAGAACACCTTGAGAAAACTACAGAAATCACAAATCTGAGGCCAGACCAGCCATTCTCTGGGGTTTTTGGTTGTTTGGTGTTCTCGAGTTTTTTTGGTGTTGTTGGTTTTTTGTGTGTGTTTTCCTCGAGGTTTTTGTTCTTTTGCTTGCTGGGGTATTGGTCAGCTTGTTTCAAGAGGAAAGGCCTTTGTAGACTCCAGCGATGCGCTAAGGAAGCGCAGCGCGCTCAGGGCCAGAACTGCTCAGGTCGCAATGTCAGAAGGCTTTTGCCAAATAGGGCAAGTCCTCATACGGCTTTTTGTGAAACTTTTGATAAGGCTCCTTGTAAAGCTGCGTGTAAGACTCCTTTTACAGCTCCTGATGAGCTCTTTTTAAGGCTCCTAGAGCTGCTTGCAAAGCTGCTTTTGAATCGACTTCTTGTGAAGCTCCTCATAAAGCTCTTTAGAAAGCTTTGTGTAAAGCTCTTTGCACTAGTTCAAAGCTCTTTTTAAGGCTTCTTCTCAGGCTGCTTCTTATAGAGCTTTTTATAAGCTCCTTGAAAAGCTGCTTAAAAGGCTCCTTATCAGGCTCCCTTTAAAGCTCCATATGCTCCTTGGAAAGCTTCTTATGGAGCCCCTTGTGCAGCTCCTGTGGATAAAGCTTCCTTCAAGGTCATTTACAACGCTCCCACTCTTGAAGTTTCATAGGAATTTGGCGAGAATTAAATTGGGAAATAGTTCTGCTAGTTCTATATCGAATGAGAATTTAAAGGGGGATTTCTTTCCACATGATGTGGGATTTCTTTCCACATGATGTGAATAGTAGACCGTGCATCGAGTTTAATTGGGAAATTAACCACTAGACTTCTATCTTCATTTAGAATTTGAATAAAGCGTCCTTCCATGACTGGAACATAGCAAGGGCATAATACAATCATTTTTTGGGCCTATGCGAACTTGAATTTGAGTGATATTTAAATGGATCTTTACTTACAATTAAGATAGAAGTAAAGAAGGACATACTTGCAGTTGAATGTCTGTTTTAATTGAGAATGAAGGAAGGAATTACTTTCAGAATAGGACGTTAGCCAAAGTTAATTGCTATGTAAATGTAATTTGAATGTCTGTGTCGATTGATCATTTAAGTAGCAATTCCTTACCAAACAGATGCAGATGCCTATATGCTGTTTTTAAAATGGATTACTTGGTGGGTGCAGACACAGATGAGCAAATGCAGCGTGCCCCAAATGTAGTTCATGGGAGGGGCGTGAGCATATATACAGATATATATATATATATACATGCAGAAAAAATGAGTAGCTTCTGCATGGGTTTGCTTGTCACTTTTGTTTCAGCCCCACCCCAAAGCGCCAAGTCTTTAAGCGAAACCGCAGGGGGAGATGCTACCGGGCATGACCTTTACGGTTGAGCCGGCGCCCAAGAGTTCGAGAGATCCGGTGAACTTTTTGCCTAGGGGTCAGCAGCTCCAAATCATTGGTTTCTTGTTGGTTTCCTTTTGTTTCCCCAAAAGGCACGCAGCCAAGTGTCAAGAGCACAACAAACCGTAACGGGAGGGGGGGGACACACACACAAACACACACGCACACAAACACACACACACACACACAAACACACACAAACACACACACACAAACACACACA